GTTGTTCTTTTTTTTCTGACATGTGTTTGTGTTGTTTACACTTCTTTTGATTAATTTATGGCTCTCGCGACACTAAGTTATACAGAGGTCCAGGGGGTGGGCGTTCCATAGAACCAGTGGTTTACCTCGCCTGACCTTGTTGGACTTATGGGTACACCTTGCGTGTCTATCCTGCTTCATTCAACACTCAAGGGACACTTTAAAATTGGGTTGCAAGCAATTCAATTATTTATTTTTGATGTTGTGATGGGGGCACACATTTTTATTTTTATTGTGTGGACAGGGCAGAGCGATCCTCGTTCGTCTGCCGCCAGGAATCCTTTGGGAGGCGCTGCAGCTGGGGAGGGGATGCAGCCATTGCTAGATGACTGATGGGTGGTGGGTCAGACATCCTGGGAAGGTTCTCACTCGCCAGGTCTGGGCGCCCTTCTGGACCAGGGGATTGGCGGAAGGTTTAGGCGTATCTGGGAGTTTTTCCCAGCTTGGACGCCCACACACAGGCCTCTCCAGCTTTTGGGGCGCCTCCCGGGGGACCAGCCTTCTGGGTGGGCCTTTTTCGGCTTCCCAGGTTGACGGACCGTGATCTGGTGACTGAGGGGAAGCAAGGAATTGGCCCTTGTTTCCTGGCTACTTTTTTTAGTCTCCAGAAGGTTCAAAAAAGCGGCTTTGGCTGTCAGCATCCTAGATACTTCTGAGATGGACCCAGCACGTGGTTTGGACATCAACTGGGCCATTGGGCACGTCGATTTTATTCAAAGGATAGTTTCTGCTGGTTTTTAAGCATTCAGGGGAGGTCTGGCAGGGGACATCATCTCATTCACCGAACCAATGGAGAAAGACGTGTTTTCATCTTTCCACGTAGGGCAATGGTTAATAGGGAAAATAGATGAGGTCCTTTTGGAAGTCATCGGGATTTACTGGATGGCCTAAAATTGAAAAAATGAATCAAAAGCAGACAATACAGTGGACAGTAAGCCGCGGAAATAACCTTCATCGAAGTGGGAAGCTCTGCTCTAACGTCTCTTAACTGTCTGTCTGCTTTTCACTTCTTCTACCTTTGGGATATCCTAGAGCATTCAGCATTTCACTTCCATCGGTTTTACTCATGTGGCCGCTCCTGTCAGAATGTTTTTGTGGCTTCACAGCTGGCCAGTGAGGGAATGTCCACCTGCCCTGGTACTTGGAAGTTGCCAATTTCACACCCAGCTGTCTTTATGGCTTTCCTCCCCACCGCCCTTCCTCACACCGCTCCCGTCTCAGCTGAGCTGGAGTGAAATATGGCACAATGAAAGGACCTGGTAGGGTTTTTTCTTAATAAGTTCTTGCTAATTTGTCGGGGATCTGCAGTCTGGGCATCCGATCTTTGTGGACTGGGCAAGAAACATATGTGAGGCATCCACCACAGAAACCCTTGCCTTTCTGGGAAGAGTGGGACCATTCTCTCTGATGCTCATAGCTTCTATCAAAATAATAGATCTGAACCCTTATTCAAATCAGGGGAAAACCATGCTTTTGGCTCAGCAGAAATTATGTGTGTCTATGCACGCAGCTGAAAGATGATGACAAAGAAGTGGGAAACGTGAGCAGGAATTGTGTGATGGGGACTGGGGGCGTTCCTTTGTGTCTCCCAGGGAGCAGGTGACACAGTGGTGAAGGGCATGGACTCTGAAACCAGACCGTCTGGGGCAAGTCCCGGCTCTGCTGTCCAGCAGCCGTGTCCCCTTAGGCAAATGACTGCAGCTCTCTGCGCTTTGGCTGCCACATCTCTAAAGTGGGAATAGCAACTGTGCCTCACTGCTAGGCTAGTTATGGGAATGGATATATGTAGAGAGCACTTGGTAAGGAGTCACTCTCAGTACTGTGTCTCCTGAAGCTTTGCATGGCAAACCGGCATTTCTGTTATAAGCAGAAAGTTTACATGTGAGTATATTTTAAGAGGCCACCAGGAAAGATCTGGAAAGAAGCAATAACTGCTGAGGTGTTTGCCTAGGTAGGAGGAGGGAGTACTAGTGACAACTCATGTTTATTGAGAAAATACTCTATACCAGGCACTGTTGGATCTACTGCTACCACCATTTTGCAGATGAGGGGTAGGAGGCACAGAGAGGTGAGGGGACTGACCTGATGACACACAGCCAGTGACGGACTGGCAGAGCCAGGGCTCCCAGGGCAACAGGAGGGCTGAGCAGGTTCTGGAGGGGATGGGGCGCCCCATCTAAGAGCCTGCAGTGGTGAGTCCTGCCTGGCCGCCGGACTCAGGGTCTTCTTGGCCTCCATTCTAAAGGCCAGGAGACATGTGCAGGGGCCTCTCAGGATTTTGAAGTATGTAGGGCAGTCTCGTGGACTCTTGTCACCCTGCTATGCAGCACATGTCAGAGCTTCTTCCTCCTGTCTGTCTGAAAATCTGAGCCCTGTGAGCAACTTTGCATGCCCTCTCTCTGCCACCCCAGCCTCTCCTCACCGTCACACTCCTCTACTTCTGTGAGATCAGCTTTGCAGAATCAACAGGGAAGTGACATCACTCTGCATTTGCTTTCTGAGGTGACGGATATGTCAGTTAGCTTCGTGTCACCATTCCACGTGGTGCAGGTATACCTACCATTCACATCGAACCGCATACACGTCTGCAGCTAGGACTTGTCTGTTAAAAGTGATACGATTGAAGCTATAATAAATAAAATAAGATGCACAAAGTGTGGCCAGACCGCCGCACATACTTGTGTCTCTGCTTCTGCTGTCGTGGCATTTGTCTCCTGGTGAGCTTCTACCAGAAGAAGAACTGAAATTTCAGAGTATTACCAGCACTGTTATGCTAATATTCACACAAATCATATTTTGTTTCCTTAAAAGTGCTATTTATTTCTTCATTGTCCTCCTTCATATTTACATTTCACTTTTATAAAGCTTCCAGAGAATTAGAACTATAGGTCCGTAGAAACGAAGTTACTTCATAAACTAATTCAAATATATTTGGATCTCCCATATTTAGGGCTTAATGTGTGATGACATGAAAAACAAAACAAATAAACGATAACAAACAAACAAAAAAACCCAGGCATTGCTGAAGGGGTTTGAGCCAGGGACTGGACAGAAGGGGGAAGGGAAGGAAAAGGCAGGAAGGGAGTGAAAGGGGAAGGGGAAGGGAAGTGGGAAGGGGACTGGAATGGAGGGAAAGGTGGAGGGGAGGGAAGGGATTTTAAGGATAGCAGCACTGGGTGACCACTCACTGGGCTGTTAAGCATCAAGAAAATGGGAAGCCAAGGGGACCCCATGGGGGCCCTCTTGTCCCCAGGGCTGGAGGCCCTGCCGCAGCTCACTCTTGTGTGGCTGTGAGGCCTCTGAAGGCAGCGGGCTGCGTGTTCCCGGCTCTCACCCACAGGTGTCACCCGCAGGTGCGGCCGTGTTGCTTGCTCTCTGCGCTTCACCATTGGCCGCCACCACCACCTTGTTTGCCTGTTCGCGGCGGATCCTTTGGGCTGGCAGGAAGGGGTGAAGTTGCGACGTCTCTTGGTAAGCTCCTGTGGCCCAGGCCCCTTCAGAGGGGAGGTTGAGTTCTGTCCCTCAGACCACCCAGCCTGGTGGCCGTTGGCTTCCCTGGATGTTTCATGGTGACTCCTCCTGGCTGTCTGCCATGGCAGCAGGGCACAGTGCTGGGACAGGGACTCATGCGCAGGCAGCCACTGTGGTTTCCTGGTCTCCTCTGGCATCTCTTGCCCATTCAGCCACATGTCCCTCGTCATTTGAAGGAGGTGGGCTTCTCCCTGGGGTCAGGGATCAGGAACTTTTTCAGAAATGTTTTCAATTCTCAACGTCACATGTGGGATGTTGCTTGAATGTTCCTCGAGTTCTCTCCATCCAGTGGAAGAGTCCTGGCTGTCATGACGTAGAGGACAACCCCAGGTTTCACTCATCCCCCACTGGTCCCATGTAGTCCTCGTTCAGGAACTTCTTGGGCCAAAAATCAGGACTTCCATAGAAGGTGTCCAACTTTTTCTCTTCCTGAAATGTGCCACTAAATGTGGCAGAGCCAAAGTCAGCCAGTTTGATCTTGTTATTGTCATCAAGTAGGGTGTTTTGCGGTTGTAGGGTGTAACGTGGGTCTCGTGGCAATACTGCATGCAGCCGGGATCGTTCTGTCTTTGCATAGAGGGTGTCTTCAGTCACAGTGACATCCGAGCGCTTTAGCATGTTTGGATGACTCAGGTGCCTCTCGTTATGACCTCCATATTGACAAGTTCCAGGCCTTGGAGGCTCTGGTGGGACATTATTTTTATTTATTTTCTTTCTTTTTTGTTCCTTGGCCAAGTGTCACTTACTGCTAAAGGAATCACTTAGGTGCCGTCTAAGAAGCCCTGGATCTCGACAAGCTAGAAGACTTCTCTGGCACTGCCACTAGATCTTTGAGGGCATGGCCAAGCACACAGAGGTCCGGGGTCAGTGCCTTCAACATTATTTTCATAGCTACCTTGGCCCCATCTGACACTGCACCAACCACTTTCCTTCAGTAGCTTGTCATTGTTCAGCGCCTCATTGCACACATTGCAGGCAACGCCCTGCTGCTTGGTCACATCAATCTACGCGAACTCTGCCCTAGCTGTGCCAGGTAACTAGCGAACACTGCCAGCTACACAACCTAGGCTAGGAACACTAACAGTAGTGCGATACTAGCTACATGAACCGGGCTAACAGTACCAATAATACTGTCCTAACAATACTGACTGCACTATGCTGTCACTACTGACAGACAATCGACTGTACTATGGTAGCACTTCCAGCAAACCATACTGACTGTGCTCTGCTGACACCACTGACAGGCAGCACTGAGTGTACCATGCTATGGCCACACTACCAGTTCTCCAGCAGCTTCCTGATCAATAAGGGAGGGGTAGGGTGGGGGGTATGGGGAAGAGGGGATGAGTGGGTGGGTTAGGGAGTGGAAGGGACTGATGAGGAGGAAAAGGGGTGGGGTGGGTTGGGGAGGGGAGGTGAAGAGTAGGGGAGGGAGAGGGGAAGAAGCACAACGAGAGGAGGCAAAGACTTCATCTCCCAGCAGACAGAGAAGCTGTGGAACACACAGGGGACTTGTGTTTGACCTTTCACTGTGAAGCAGGAGGTAGGAGAGGGAAACAGAGGCCCTGAAAATTCAGGAAGAGCAGAGGACATGGCTCCAGTGTTGTTTCCTGTGCCAGAGAGAGTTCCCTAAGGCTGGGCCATCCTAGTGTGACAAAGTCGAGTCTGTCCCAGAGCCAGACATGCCTGTCACACTGAAGCAGGTTCAGACGGTGCGTGGGTATGGCGGACGACCGTTCAGGGTGGGCCAGCCAGTTCCTGATGCCAGTGTGATCTCCCATCTTAGGAAGAGGGCACTTGCTCTTCCAGGGCGCTTCTTGTTCAGAGGGGACACGGTCCTGGCAGAGCTCACTTCCTGGGGCATTTTTACTCCAGGGAACCGGAGTTGTGGTGAAGGCAGGGCTCAGTTCCCACAGCAGGATGTGGTCTTGTCCTCTTCTTGCCTGGGACCTTTTTCAGTCACTCCGGGTCTGGTGAAAACCCTGTCACAGTGGCAATCACGATTTGAAAAGCTTTTTCTGCTTTCAGGGATGCTGTAAGTCCCTTCTGTTTCCTCTCACCTTTCCCATTCCAGTTGAGAAAGACCTTGAGGGCCAGGTGTCAAGTTCCACTTGAGAAGTCTGAGGCCCCTTCTCAGGTTTGAGAGCTTATGCCAAACCGTCGGGCTGACTGGGAGATGAAGTCCAGTGCTAAGAGGCATTGTTCCTCCCTTGTGGAAGGATGTAGATTAAAGAAGAGAATGACTTCAGACAGGAAAGGGGTGGCATTTCATCCTGACTGCAATGCCTTCTGACCCTGCAGCCTCCCAGAAAGGTAGCTGGGGTGCAGGCGGGCAGGGGCTCTGGAATGGCTGCTCAGGTGAGGGAAATGGAGACAGAGAGGAAGCAGGAGGAACCATGGATCCAGAAGAGAAGCCTCGTCCAGACAGTGAGGCAGTGAGAGCGATGCAGGCGTCAGAAGTGACGTGAGGCAGGCAGAGTGAAGACCAGGAAGTCTAACAAGTTTAAAGAAAGTTTGAAGGTAGAGGACGTTAGACTCTTCACTGCCAGCGGTGATGGAAGTTCAGGTGGCATCTAGCAGAGATCCATTCTCGGGCCCAATTTCCTGGTCTTTTAATTTACTAACCATTTGGGATGCGGGTCGAGGTGTCCCAAAGTTCCAACTGAACGTTGCCATGATGAACATTTTTACGGATGGTCGTATGCTGCCAGAAGTCTGAGAGGGCTACCCCAATGCAGATGACCGTTGAAGGCCTGCTCAGACATCTGGTGTTCCCAAAAATCTAAAGTCAGACTAAAGCCTAGTGATCTGGGCCAGAGAATGAGCGTCCGAAACTGTGACTCAGTTGTGACCTTGAAGTCTTCTCCATAGCCAGGCGTCCCTAGGTCCAGGTGAAGACTGATGGGGGCAGGGCCCCTCCTGGGATCAGTGCTTAGGCAGCATCCTCCATGACACCCTCCCGAGTGGTGGACCCAGGCGCCGGGTTTTTTCGTGGACTAAGGAAGCCAAACCAAGCTACCTCTCCCAAAGTTGTGCCTGCAACCATTCCCAAAGTTTCCGGAGACCCAGTGACTCACCGAATCCCAAACAAATTGAAGGCACTGAGAAGGGATATCCTAGGAATCGCAGAGGAAGGAGCAGTATCAAGACTGAAGCAGCTTTTCTTGTATAAAGGAGAAATAAAGACCATCCCAGACAAGCAAAGCCGGAAGGAATTCATCAACACAAGACCTGCCCTCCAGGAAGTAGTCAGAACAGCGTTACACACAGATCAGCACAGTAAACACTCAACTGTGTCAAATCCTCCAAAACGTAAAGGTCAAAGGCCAGGTACCACAGTGGCTCAAGACAGAATACAAAGTTACAAAGCTCAACTCAACAGGATGAACAGAGATCTGCCCTACTTAATAATTTCTTCAATAAATGTGAATGGCTTCAAGTGCCCACTAAAGAGACATAGGCCGGCCGAATGGATAAATAAATACAAGCCAAGGATCTGCTGTCTTCAGGAAACACATCTAACCCACAAGGATGCATTCAGATTTGACGTAAGGGATGGAGAAACATATTCTACGTAAATGGAAGCGAAAAGTAAGCCGGCTTAGCAGTTCTGATTTCAGATAACTTAGTCTTCAACAAAAGTAATGAAAGACAAAGATGGTCACTATATAACAATGAAGGGTACTATTCAACAAGAAGATACAGTGATTCTAAATATTTATACACCCTAATTTAATTATACCTAGATTCATAAACCACATCCTACTTGATCTAAACAAAATGATAAACAGCACCACTGTAATAGCCAGTTACTTCAACACACCTTGACAGAACAGGACAGATCCTCCAAATAGAAAATAAACAATGGACTTAAACAGAAGTCTAGTACAAATGGGCCTGACTGACCGTTACAGAACATTCTACCCCAAAACCACTGAATGTACGTTTTTCTCATCAGCTCATGGGACGTTCTCTAAGATTGACAATATTCTAGGCCACAAGGATTGTCTCAACAAACTAGTAAAAATACAAGTTATACCATGCATCTTCTCAGACCACAGTGGAATAAATTTAGAAATCAACTCCAACATGAACTCTGATCTCTACACAAAGTCAAGGAAACTATACAACCTTCTGCTGAAAAATTCTTCAGTTAAGGAGGAAATTAAGATGGAAACCAACTCTTTCAACTAAATGATAAAGACATAGGGTATCAAAATATGTGTGACATAGCTAAAGCAGTCCTGAGAGGACAATGTATATCCATAAATGCCTACATCCAAAGATGGAAAGGTCACAAAGCAACAATGTAATGAATCATCTCAGAGAACTGCAAGAGGAGGAGCAAAGCAACCACAAGCCCAGCAAAAGAAAAGAAATAACAGAGATCAGAGCAGAACTAAATGACATCGATACAAAAAATAAAAAACAAACAAAACTGTAGGGAAGAGTAATAAAACAAAGGGTTGGTACATTGAAAAGATAAACAAAATTGGCAGCCTCTTGCTAGATTAATGAGAAGCAGAAAAGAAAGGAATCTAATCTCAATCAGAAACGAGAAAGGCTACATTACAACTATTGTCATGGGAGTACAAACTATCATCTATGAATACTATCAAACATCTCTATGCACATACACTTGAAAATGTTGAGGAAATGAACAAACTCTCAGAAACACACAGTTCAGTCAGGAAGAAATAGAATTCCTGAACAGACCAATATCAAGTATCAAAGTGGAAGCAGCAATAACAAACCTTCCTAAAGAGAAAGTTCTTGGATCAGATGGTTTCACACCCAAATTGTATCAGACCTACAGAGAACTGGTGCCTATCCTGCAGAAACTACTCCACAACATCAGGAAGGAAGGAATACTCCCAGCATGTTTTCTGAAACCAACATCACTGTGATACTACAGCCAGGGAAGGACTCAACAAAAGAAGAAAACTACAGATCAATATCTGTTATGAATATAGATGCAGAAATTTGCAATAAAATCATAGGAAATATAATTCAGTTCATCAAAAAAAAAAAAAATCCACCACAACCAAGTTGACTTCCTCCCACAGATGAAGGTATGGTTCAACATAAATCTAGAAATGTCAGTCACCATAAAATAGAAGTAAAAACAAAAACGATAGGATCCTCTTAATAGATGTAGAGAAAGCATTGCACAACATTCAGCACCCTTTTTTGATGGGAAGGTTTAACAAAATCACCATAGATGGAACCTACCTAAAAATGATAAAGGCCATATATAGCAAACCCATAGCCAACATAATGCTGAGCGGGGAAAACTTGAAAGCATTCCGGCGTAGAAGTGGAACCAAAGTTGCTGTCTATCACCACTTGTCTTCAACATAGTACTGGAAGTCGTAGCCAGAGCAATCAGCCAAGACAAGGAAATCAAAGGCATCCAAATGGGGCAGAAGAGGTCAAACTATCACTTTGCTAATGATATGATTTTGGGGTCTAGAAAACCCCAAAGATTCTGCCATGACACTATTGGAATTCATAAATAAACTCAGCAAAGTCTCTGGTTGAAAATCAGTGTACAGGAATCAGCAGCATTCCTATACGCCAACAACAGTCAAACTGAGAACCAAATCAAAGACTCAAAATGCTTCACAAAAGCAACAAAGAAAATAAAGTACCTAGTAATATATTTAACTAACAAGATAAAAGACCTCTACAGGGAGAACTAGTAAAACTGTGGAAGGAACTAGCAAAGGATGTGAAGAGGTGGAAAACCATACCATGCTCATGGGTCAGTAGGATCAACAGTTTATAAACGTCTATACTACCCAAAGGGATCTACAGATTCAATGCAATCCCTATTAAAATACCAACATCATTGTTTGCAGATCTAGAAAAAATAATTCTATGCTTAGTATGGAAGCAGAGAAGCCCTCGTATAGATAGCAAAAGCAATCTTAAGCAAAAAGAACAAATTGGGAGGCATCAATGGACCAGACTTCAAGCTATACTACAGGGCTATAGTAACTAAAACAGCATGGCACAGGCACAAGAACAGAGACATAGACCAATGGAACAGAACTGAGAGCCGAGATAGAAAACCATCCTCATGTAGCCATCTAAACTTTGACAAAGCAGACAAAAACATACAGTGGGGAAAAGAATCCTTATTCAATAAATGGTGCTGGGAAAATTGGATATTCGTATGTAGAAGACTGAAAGAGAATCTGCACCTCTCATGGCTCACAAAAATCAACTCACAGTGGATAAAAGACTTAAACTAAGCAATGAAACTATAAGAATTCCAGAAGAAAATGTTGGAAAAACTCTTATGGACATTGGCTAGGGAAAGAATTTATGAAGAAGACTCCAAGGACAATCCTAGCAACAACAAAAACAAAGAAATGAGACCTGATCAATAAAAAAGCTTCTGCACAGTCAAGGAAACTGTCACGAGAGCAAATTGACAATATACAGAATGGGACAAAATATTCCCGTGCTACACAGGCTTGATGAAGGGCTGATAACTAGAATCTATATAGAGCTCAGGAAAACCAGCAACAACAACAAAAATCAAGCGATCCCTTTAATAATTGGGGAACGGATATGAACAGAAATTTTCAAAAGAGGAAAGACAAATGGTCAGAAAACATGAAATAAGGCTCAACATCTCTAATCATCAGGAAGTACAAATCAAAACCACAATGAGATAGCACTTAACTCCAGTGAGAATGGATTTTATCAAAAAAAAATCCCAAAACAATAAACATTGACATGGATAGAGAGAGCTAGGAATGCTCATACACTGCTGGTGGGACTGCAAAGTAGTACAGCCTCTGTGGAAAGTAACACGGAGATACCTCAACGAACTCAAAGTGGAATCGATCCAGCAATGGTCCTACCGGGCATCTACCCGAAGGAAAAAAAGACATTCTGTGAAAACAACTTTTACACTCGAATGTTTATAGCAGCACAATTCACAATTGAAAAGATGTGGAAACAACTCACGTGCCCATCAATACATGAGCAGATAATAAAATGTGATATATGTATGCCATGCAGTTCTACTCAGTCAGAATAAACAATGGTGATCTAGCACCTCTTGTATTATCCTGCATAGAGCTGGAGCCCATTCTACTAAGCAAAGTATCACAGGAATGGGAAAACAAGCACCAATGTACTCACCATCAAATTGGCATTAGCCGGTCAACACTCTAGTGCACAAATGCTAGTAACATTCATCGAGTGTTGGACAGGTGGGAGGGGGGAGGAGGAATGAGTATATTCAGAACTAATGGGTGCGATGGGCACCATCTGGGGGATGGACATGCTTGAAGCTCTGACTCGGGCAGAGCAAAGGTGATAATGTGTAACCTACAATATTGGTATCTCCGTGATAAGCTGAAATTAAAAAAAAGCGAAAGAAACATACAGGCCAGAAGTCAGTGGGATGCAATATTTAAAGTTGTAGAAGAGGAAATAAAAGCCCTACAACTAAGAACTCTACATACAACAAGCTTTGCTTCAAAAATGATGGAGAAAATAAGGTATTGGCAGATAACCAGAAGCCGAGACCACCAGCCCTGCCTGCAATGAAGGGAGTCCTTCCACTAGAAAAGAAAGGACACTACACGGGAACTCAAAGCATTATGAAAATACAAAGACCTCTGGTGAAGGTAAATACATGGACCATTATAAAGGCTAGTGCTGTTTTTCTTTTGTGCATGATGTAATAGAGGAAGGTATCAAACAAGCCTATGATTAGTTGATGTTTTGGGGCACACAGTGCAAACGCATGTAACGTGGTGGTGCCAACAACTGAAAGAGCAATTAGGCAAGAGAAAGAAATGAAAGGCTCTCACATTGAAAAGGAAGATGTGAAGATCCCAGTTTGCAGACGACATGATCCCATATGTACAAAACAGTTAAGATTCCACAAAAGAACTGTCAGAACTAAAGGAAACTTAGCAAACTATCAAGCATATGGAATCCCAGAAGACCCCTGTCCGGGGTCACAGGTGGAGGATGCGCAAAGTCATGGCGGGAGAGCCGGGGCAGGGCCCTGGCTGAGGGGACCTCGAGGCCCTGCGCTGTCCCTGCTCCAGGGGCACAGCTGAGCCTGTGGAGGCTCTCGGGTCAGAGCCGGGGGTTGGGAGCGATGCCGCAGGACTCGGGTGCTCTCCAGCAGCAGCGGGCAGTCGGGGCGGCGCTCGTGTCAGCTCAGCACGCCAGACCCCTGCGGCTGGCGAGGGAGGTGAACGGCACGTCTTGGAAGGCACCTGATACAGGCAGTCAGGACAGAGATGGGCTTCAGATCCCGCGGTTGCTGCCCTGCCTCCCCAAGCCAGACCCACTCCTGACCCCTCCGCGGGCTGGACCATGGGGCACCGCACCGAGCTTGCCGGATACTGCTTCCCGCCCCAGTCAGCACCCGCTGTGTGCTGCAGATGTTTGCCATGCTTGTCCCACCTGTGGGTCCCTCTGCGAGCCCATCAGTGCTTGAGTCTGGGCCCACCGGGCTCCTTGATCTCACGGTGTCCCTGTAGACTGTGGGCTTTGACCTGGAGGCTCTGGGCCAGTGAGGTGTGAGTGGGGCCCTCAGCCCCGAGTGCCCAGGTCCTCTGGCTCCACCGAGTCATCTAGACTGAGCGTGAGTGTCGCTGTGAAGAGGCGTGTAGGTTCTGTGTCTTCAAACACCAGCTGCCGACACGGGGGCCTGGGGGTCAGGCCCAGGCTGCTGTTTCGCCACCCGGATGCCACCCCGAGAGGAGAAGGCTTTTCCGAGGCTCCTGGGGTCCCCCTATTCAGCTGTGCCTGTGGGGACATTTAGGCTTTGACGCCCTCTGGGGGCCTTCACAGCTCCTGAGTGTCCCCCAGTCGCATTGCTGACACTGGCCCACCTCCTGGCACAGGGCTCCGGGACATGTCTGCACCCGAGAAGTCAGGGAATGAAACAGAGGTGGGAACCGTGGTCCCCCAGGTGTAGTTATCGCAGCTCCTACCCACGACTCTTTCCCTCTGGGCTGGCCACGTCTTTCACAAGATGCGCAGTGGCCTGCTTTGCCCACAGCAGGGTTTCGCTGGTTGTGAGCCAGAGACCACGGTAAGGGCGGGGGATTTGAGGACAGAGCGGCCCCAGGCCCACCAGCTGGGCAAAGGGGTTAAATGGCCCCGCTTTGCTGGGATTCTTGCTTTCCATCTGTCAATGGGGAGCGACAGTTAGTACCACTAATGAAGACAGTCCACAACAGCAGGGCTCCTGATGGCACATGCCATCAGGGCTTCCACTTTTGCCCCTTGGACCACAGCAAATCGTACGAGGCAGGAGTCCAAGAGTCTCCATTTCACGGGACCGGGAGACTGAGTCTGGCGGACCTCAACTTGCTTAAGGTCACACAGCCATCGAGGGACAGCTGCATTCTGCTTGCGGGGACAGAGAAGCAGATGCACAAATGGACATGCACGGTGGAGGCAGGTGGAAAGGAGGAGCGTTGCGTGGTGACAGGCTAGGGGAGGTCTGCTTCAGACAGGGTCACAGGGGAGGCCTAGGGAGGAGGTGACACGACAGGCGAGCCCAGAGTGACCGCAGAAGTGCTGCACCGCTGTCTGGAGGGGCAGCTCCCGAGAGGAGCGGGCTGCGGCCCTGAGTGTGCCTGGCAGCACACCTGCAGGGAAAGGACAGCGCACGTGGGCGTGGGGAAGGTCGAGTCCGGGGTGCCTTTCATGGGGCACTCCAGGCGCTGGGCATGGTGTGTGTGCGCGTGAGCACCCGTGTGCGGGGAGGGACTCCCAGAGACAGGCCGTGGCCTTGTCCAAGTCAGAAAAGTGTTCATGCGGAGAAACAAAGCCAAAAGGACAGAGTGCTTGTGTGAAAAGTGTCCTCTGTTCAGGCTGCCATAGCGCAACACCCTAGGCCAGGTGGTGGCTTGGGAACTGCAGAAGTTTCTTTCTCACAGTGCTGGAGCTGTGAGGCCAAGGTCAGGGTGCCGGCAGGTTCGGTGACGAGTGAGGGCCCACCTCCTCATGGACGGCTGTAATTTGAATATTTATGTCCCTCCACAATTCATATGTTGACATCCTAACCCCCAAGGTGATGGTGTTGGGAGTTGAAGTCTTTTGGGGTGATTAGGTCAAGGGGGCAGAACCTTTGTGACTGGGATTAGTGCCCTTTTACTGGAGAGCCCAGAGAGCTAGCTCATCCCTTCCACCATAAGGACCCGCCAGGATCCCTCCAGGGCCTCTGTGCTCACCCTCTGTGCCCTGGGCTCCCTGTCACTGGCGTGGCCCAGGCGTTTCTCAGCTTGAGGTCTGTGCTCCCTGAGAGCTCCTCTCCCTCTCCAACCCTCCTTGCCCGGGACACCCACACGGCACCCGGCACCTTCTGTCCTTCCCTCACTCTTCCGTGAGGGCAGCTGCTGCACGCCCAGGGCCTTGCACGTTCCTGGTGCCAGTGGGTGCTCAGTTAGTCCGACTGTGCGTGAGTCAGATCTGGGCCGGGTCAGGTAGTCTCCCTTGAATGACACGTGGCAGGAAGCAGAGCCATGCAGAGTGCCACCGAGGCAGTGAGGGCTGCCCTTATCCTCTTGGGAGCCAGCCGTGAGGACTCTTCCACGGGACCCTCCCTCATGGCTCCGCCTGGCGAGCGGCTTTCCCGCCTGCCCAGCCCCCCCCCTACTCCCCCAGCATAGGATCTGCCACATGCTCCGAAGCCAGCCATCTGCTCTGGGGACCTGAGGGTTGGGGTGTGTGTGAGTGGGGCCTGGCAAGGTGGGGGTGGGGCTGTCCTCTGAGCAGGACTGTTGCTCACTCAGCCTCTGTCTGGACTGGAGGAGATGGCAACTTGCTCTGTAAGGAGGCCTGAAAGGGCACATGGCCATTCAGCTGGGCTCAGGAACACCATGGTTTTATTGGGGTATATGTCCCAGATGGAATGAGTGAGTGGCCAGGACCTGCGGCTTCTAAGGCCAGCTCTTCCCCCGGGGTGGGCTGCAGGCAGGCATTGCCTTGGCCCCTAGTTGGCCATGGCCTCGTGGATCTGACGGTGGCGGTCTTGTCCCTTCAGCACGACACTCTCGTGCCCATGTCGGCCTCCATAGAGCTCATCCTGGTGGAGGACGTGAGGCTGAGTCCAGAAGAGGTGACCACCTACAACCACCCTGGCATCCAGGTACGGCCCTTGCCCTGCCACTGCCCTACCGGGGTGAGACCCACCAGGGGCGCCTCGCCTCCAACACGCAGCCCAACCCCTCCCTGTCTCTCCCTCCTGCAGGCGGAGCTGCCCATCAGAGAAGGCACGAGACACTTCCTCAACACAGCACTGCAGACGTCGTCACGGTGGCCTCCCTGGAGGCCAGGGGAGTCGCCCTGGTGGGTTGGCTTTAGTTTCTCACCCAGGCCACTGTGTGGTGAGTGGATTGACTATTGGAAAAGCTGGCACTTAGTCACACCAGCTATAACCAGCAGGGTCTTCAGAATCTCCGCTTCATTCAGCAACTTTGGTCATCGCCGTGCCGCCTCTGTGAGTTTCATTCCACATCCACACACTACTCCCACTATTAGTTACCTAATGGTTTCCTTTCGATCCATCTTTTAATGAAGACTAAAGCATCATTTCATAAGCACCACTATGACATCCACAAAGAAAATTGTTTTTAGAGGATGCATCAGGTTTTTGTATTAATATTTTTTCCATGTTTCTTTCCTGGCCCTCTCCCTGTTCTTGCAAGTGCTGACTTAGCTATGTCCCTGGGGGGCAGAATTTAGCATTCTGCCTTTTTTGATTCATTATGCTAAGATTTTATATTTTTCCCTGTTGCGATATAGGCTAGGCAATTATTTTATGCAGCCGTTTGTACTTTAGCTATTCTCTTTTTGAGGAGCATGTGGATTGTTTAAAACATTTTATTTCTTAAAAAAACATAGGAAAGCATAGGATAAAAAGAGCAAAAACAAACAAATGCCACCATACTAGTCCTACATGTCTGCATATATCCATGATAGATTGCTAGGAAATCAGGAAAATTGATCTCACTTGTAAAGGAAGCTCTTACCACTGAATGTGTAGAGAAAGTCATGAACACCAAGGCTCAGCACTGACGTCCACCCTGTGATTTCAGCGTAGCCTAGAGATGGGCACCAGGCTGAGGGACAATCTAAGGGACAGATTCTGTGCTGAACTGCAAAATGCACAAAAATGCTTGATGGGTTTTACCTATGAAAGTACCATGTGTAATCACAATGCAGATCAAAATACTGAACATTTTCAACACCCGGGAAGTTCCTACCGCGCTTCCTCCTAGCCACAGCCCCCAGAGGCCCACAAGGAAGGATGGTGCTGATTTCCACCCTCATGGATTAGCTGTGCCTGCTCCTAACCTCTGTGTAAGTGGAACAACACAACATGTACCTTCTTGTATCTTTTCTGTGTGCCAGTCACCCATGTTGTTACATGCACTGTAGTTTGGTCTATTTCATTGCTGTGCAGTGCTCCATTTTTCCCAACGTTACTATCGATGTTTCCATTCCTTTGCTTTGGTGGTTACAAAGTGTCTTTTTGTCCGCATGCACGCTTTTTTAAACAAACAGACTTTATTTCTTTAGAGCATTTGCAGGTTCACAGCAAAACTGAGCTGTGTGTGAAAGTGCAGAGCTCCGTGTCCCGCCTCCCCCCACAAACACACAGCCTCCTCCGCTGTGCACACCCCCACCAGAGGGCACATTGTTACACTCGGTGAACCTGCACTGACGCCTCATGTCAGACACACTGACCGCGTTAGCATCAGGGAATGCTCTGTCATAAATCCCCGATGACTGTTCTTGCTCTGAACTCTGCTGTGATCCTGCTTTCTTTCATTAGTGTTAGCATGATGTGTGTCTTTATCCATCCGTTTACTTTTCATATGATGTGTCTTTGCATTTTAAGTGGGGTCCTGGTACACAACCTACAATCAGGTCTTGTTATGTGATGCACTCTGACCGTCTTTGTCCTATATTTTGACCATTGACATTTAAAGTAGTTACTGATAGAGTTGGATTACTATGTACTACCTTTGTTACCGTTTTCTATTCCTTGCCCTGACTTCTCTTCCTTTTCTGCCTTTTGAAGTTTTAATAATCATTCTTCTATGATTCTACTTTTTCTCTTTCTTCTGTGAGGGGATTAAGACCACTAGGACTTAGGGATGCTATGTCTGCGGCTGTGAAAGGAGAGGAGGTGAAGGGATTGCCTGAGCAGACGCCTGCAATAAGGGCAGATGTTAAGTGCCTGGGTGGGGGACAGATAGCAGCGATCTGGGAGTACAGCAAAGCATGCTGCAAACTCAGAGCCTGAGGGGTCTCATGCCTCAAAAGCCACGGAGCGGGCTGACATGGAAACTTCTCGTGGCTGCAGAAGTAGATTGTGGTATGTCCGCCCGGGAGAAGGGGCCTACGGCCTTCATTTTTAGAACACTTGGCCAAGGTCCTTCTCTCCCTTTCTCCCAACAATGCCTCAGGTGATGTAAAACTAGTCTCCCTGTGGAAAGCATGTAGTTTCTTTGTTCCTTGATCAAATGGGTCACAGCTACTGAAGCTCGATATTGATATCCATATTCATAGCTTGAGCTTGGGATGAAATCAGTTTACCTTGATCATCGTGGCTGTTCCTACTGAAGAATTATGCGTTTTTCACTTCTAGAAAGGAGAAGGAAATTGGCTAGGACACCTTGTGATTTGGTGGGTACCCGAGACCTTTGATCCTTGTATCCCGTCATTTTTTCGCATGAGATCATTGTATTTTGCAATATGGCAAAGAGAATAAAAAGCAAGTGCTGTGTTTCGGTCACCGCCACGTTGGCAGCGCAGTGCTGGGGTCCCCTGATTTCCCTGCTTTCTTAAATATTCTTTCTGTGTCTGTGTCTTTGTATCTTTCATCTCTTGCAACACATTCTGCCAGAATCTTTATCGGGATGTCGCAAACTCCCAATAGTTCTGATTTAAACTTTTTTAATGGTGACTCCATAGATTGTAACTAATTTGAGTCAACTTTCAAATAACCCTGTACCCCTTCATGAGTGGTACAATTACTGTATAATAATAAAAAAAAATCCCTATTTCTTTCTTCCTGCCTTTGTATCAGAGCTGTCAATCGTTTCATATACACATAAGCATACACACATACACGCACATCTATTTACAGTGAATGTGTGTTGCTACTAATATTTTCAATAAACTTATCCATTAGATCAATTGAAAATAAGTAAAATAAAAGTTTGTATTTTTCCTTTACTTATTCCTTCTTCAATGCTCTGCTTTTCTTTATAGAGATCTCAGTCTCTGCCATGTATCATCTTCCTTCTCTCTGAAGAATTTCCGTTAACATTTCTTACAAGCCAGGTCTACTGACAGCAAGCTCTATGAATTTTTGTCTGAGAACGTGTTTATTTCTTCTTCATTTTTTAGGCGTGATTGAGCAGAGACTCGAGTTCTAGGTTGGTGGCTATTTTCTCTCAACACATCCAATATTTCACTCCACCCTCTTCTTCCTTGTGTGGTTTCTGAGGAGAATCTGACATAATTTTTATCCTTGTTCCTCCGTTAATAAGGAATGCCCCCTACCCTGGCTTCTTTCAAGATTTTGCTCTCTATCTTTGCTTTTCTGCATTTTCGATATGAAATGCATGCGGGTATGTAGCTGATGGGTTTTTTTTGCTTTTTGTTTTCTTATTCTTAACAATTATCCTGCGTGGTGTTCTTTGAGCTTCCTGGGTCTCTGGTTGGTGTCTCACATTAATTTTCAAAATTCTCAGTCGTTCTTGCTTCTAGTGTTTCCTCTGTTGCTTTCTGTCTTTCTTCTCTTTCTTGCATTCCCATTGTATGTATGTCACACTTTTCGTTGAAGACCCGTAGTTCTTGGATATTCTGTCCTATATTTTCAGTCCTTCCTCTTCCTTCTCAGGGTTGGAAGTTTCTGCTGGCGAATCCTCAAGCCCAGAGATTCTTCCTCATCTGTGTCCAGTCTAGGAATGAGCCCGTCAAAGGCACCCTTCATTTCTGTTACTCTGTTTCTGATCTCTAGCATTTCTTCCTTATTCTTTCTTAGAAGTTCCATCGTTCTCACATTACACATCTGTTCCTGCATGCTGTGGGCTTTTCCCATTGGACCCCTTAGCATATTTATCATAGTTGCTTTAAATTTCCAGTCTGATAATTCCAACATTCCTGCCTTATCTGAATCTGGATCTGATACTTGATCTCTTTTGAAACTGTGATTTTTTAATTTTATTTAATTTTTGCCTTTTAGTCTAACTTATAACTTGTTCAAAGCCAGACATGATGTCCTGGGTAAAAGGACTCCAGTAAATGGGCCTCTAGTGGTGTGACCATGTGGTGTTGGGTGGAGGAGGCATTCTTTAGTCCCACAGTAGGTCTCAGTCTCTTGGGGAGCCTGTGCCCTGAGCTGTGACCTTCCCTTGTGCTTCTCAGTCTCCTCGCCCAGCCCGTTAGGTGGAACTGGATAAAAAGAGTGGCTGGAGTTGGGAAATCCTCTTCCCCTACGACACTCAGGCTCTGATAAAGCCCAGGGGTCAGTCCCTGGATAAATAGGCTCTCATGAGGGGCCTTGTTAAGAAGAACAGATGCTCTGGCTTATTTCCCAGCCCCCTGTGGGAGGCGCCAGGGGAATCTTTCTCCAATAGTCCCTATAAGAACCTGGTAGGATTCCTAGAGGTAAAACTCATGAAAGTGTGGGGCTACTAGACTGAGCCTCCTTGGAGTGTTGAACTCTCAGACTCGTCCACACGGAGCCTCCAGCAGTGTGTCAGCTGCAGGTTAGGGTTTCCTGAGCTGGTCCTGGTTCCTGGGGAGGTTTCTGCTCTCTGGTCGGTTCTGGTAAGCTGTGATCTCTGCATTTGCCTGTCTGTCTGTCTCTAGTCTGGGGGCAACACTTTGCCCTGTCACCTCACTTCTCTGCCAGATCTAGGAAGAGTCACTGGTTCTTGATAGTTCGGCTTTGGCTTATCGTTAGGACAGAGTGATGCCTCCCAAGCTCCTTGGACTGCAAACTGGAATGTGCACTTCCTTTCTTACCTGGGCTTGAGACTGTGGGATCATGAGGTATATGCATATTATGATAATACTGCCAAGGAATTTCCCAAAGTACTTGCACCAATTGACATCAGTAGTGTGTAAGAGTTCCAGGTACTCCGCAACCTCACTTGCTCTCGGAACTGCTGACTTTTAATGTTTGCCATTCTGTTGTGTGTGTGGTGATAGCTCATCGTGTGTCTCCCTAACGATGTTGAGCACATTTTCATTCCGTGCTGTCTTTAACTTCTCTTTAAGTCTCTTCACTTTGAATTTATTTACCTGAGAGTCTTCTTGCTTTCTGAGGTTAGCTCTGGTGGTATGTAGCGTACATTTCCCCTTAACCTTGTGCCTGCTACCATTTGTCTGCTCTGCCCAGTGAATCCTGCCCCGGGCTCATGGTGACTTCAGCACCATCTCAAGTTGGGGCTCTGCCATGCTTTAGTAAGTCAAGGCACAATCAGAATATTTAAATTTTTGATTCTGCGGATCTTTATTGAACAGAAAATACTAGAGATAGTATCTGACTGCTCTGTGTCATGGCTATAAGTTTCTTCTAAAGGCCTATTAGAATTTGCACTTCACAAATACCCTAAACCAGAATGTCACTATGGAGTGACTGTCATCAGCACCTGACAGGGAGGGCTGCTTATTGTGAAGCCACAGCCTTGATTAAGGCCTTTAGATGATTGAAGTTGTCATGTACCTTTGTGGTAATAAAAACATATGTCTTAACTCCAGCAGAAACACTCATCTCTACACAAAGTCATGGAAACGAAACAACCTGCTGAAGGATTATTCTATCAAGGAGGAAATTAAGATGGAAATCAAAACATTCTTTTAACTAAATTAAAAAGGGGACACAAGTTATCAAAATGTGTGGGACATAGCTAAAGCAGTCCTGAGGGGAAAACTTATACCCATAACTGCCTACATCCCAAAGACAGACAGATCGCAGACCAACAATCTGAAGAATCATCTCAAAGAACTGGAAAAGGATGAGCAAACCAATCCCAAAACCAGCAGAAGAAATGAAATAACCAAGATCAGAGCAGAACTAAATGAAAGCAGTAATTTTAAAACTGTACAGAACTATACAGAAGATTAATAAAATAAAAAGTTTGTTCTTTGAAAGGATAACCAAATTGACTCACCTCTCACTACATTAACCAGAAGCAAAAAGAAAGGGCTCTGATGAGTTCAATCAGGAATGAAAAAGGAGAAATTGCAACTGATACCAGAGAAATACAAACTATCATCTATGAATAGTATAAGAATCTATAGTATTCTAGTATAGTATAATAGTATAAGAATGAATAGTATAAGAATAGATAAACTTGAAAACGTGGAAGAAATGGACAAATTCTAAGAAACAGCCTACTTGGGCTCAATCAGGAAGAAATAGAATTTCCGAACAGACAAATATCAAGTATGAAAATTGAAGGAGCAATCACAAACCTTCCTTAAGAAAAAGTCCTGGACCAGCTGGTTTCACACCTGAATGTGACCATGCGTACAAAGGACAGGTCCCATCCTGCAGAAATTATTCCACAGCGGTGAGAAGGAAGCAATCTTCCCCAAATGCTTTACAAAGCCAGCACCACCCTGTTATCAAAACCAGGAAAGGGAACAACAACAACAAAAAACACCACAGACCAATATCTGTTATGAATATAGATGCAAAAATGCTCATAACACCCTAGCAAACTGAAATAATCACATGGGTGATCCCATCCATGATGGGATCAGGCGCCTTGATCCCTCTGGCTGGGCCTTCACGGCTGGAGCTTCGCGGCATTCTTGTTCACAGCCTCCCAGCTCGGTTCCACAGTACGCTCGCCATCACACAGGCCTCCCCGGGCAACATGTGGCACCTCTGAGTGATCTTTTTAACTCGCTCACCATTTTCTACATTTCATGCCCCTATGCTCGCTGGCCAAAGTTTTCAGAGGAAGAAGGAGGAGGAATTGGGGGGTGAGGGGAGGTTGGTTAAATTTTTGTGTTTTGGGTCTGAAACACACAGACCTGTGTTTTCAGTTGTTTCTGAGGGATTGTTTACCCGCCTTAAAGGTCAGGCCGCGGTGGGGTGTTTCTGTGGAGTGCGCCCTTCCTAAGGCAAGAGAGCCCGGGACCCCCTTGCAAAGCTGCCCTCCTCTCTCCGCGGAGTGGGCTGCTTCCTGGTGTGGAGGAAGAGCTGGGGTTTAAAAGGCCCCCTGGTTTGACTGTGTGACTAAGGGGGGCAAAGCATCGCATGTCCTTCGTGTTTCACGTGGCACGGGGGGCTTCGGGGGCCAGGGTGTATCCACCCCTCTTCCAGGAGGGTTGGGAAGCCCTCTGGGAGACTCCAGCCAAGAGCTCTGCAGGGCTTTCACAACTGTAGGGGTGTCCGGGGAGTCACGGTGGGGGGGTGTGGGAATCGGCAGGCGTCTGGGTTCGCTGTGGGGGCGGGCGTTGCACCTGACTCTGCATTTCCAGTCGTCCCCAGGGTGAGGCGAGGACGCTGCCCTCCTAGGACCGCACTGGGAGCCACCCAGGATTCCCACCATGACGGGGGGCCCAAACTGAAATAGTTAAATAATACAAGCCCACACATGTAGCATACATTTCCCAAGGCTGTCCCATCAATCAGAAGGTAAAAGAGATACATTAAAGTGAATAAGATTTTATTAATAATTTATGCCAAATGTACTATTTATATGTAATTCATATAAATACTGGATTGGTGTGAGTAACAGTTGAAATCATGGTGTTTGTATTTAACTTACGCACATCGCAGTTCAGGCATAGCAAACATTTCAAGCCCGTCATGTGTTTGGGCCGGGGTGGGCGCTCCCGGGTTTGAAAGGCATAGATCTGAATTCTGGGCCTTGAATTACCTCTGGTTGCCTGGGAGGCTCAACTACCTTCTGGGGAAGTCCACTCACAGGCTGCATGATCTGAGTTTGGGGAGTTGACGAGGACTAGCTGGGGGAGACAGGCTTCACTCTCTGGGTCCCCCAAGCCCAGGTTGGCTTGGTCTGGTGAACCAGCTACCTCACGTCCTCTTGGCTCAGGGTGCCACAGAGGGCGTTGGAGATGGTTTCTGTGGTTGTTTCCAGTCTCTTGCTCTTTCTTGGTTGAGAAACTGCTCGGCAGGGACGCCTGGGATGAGTCCTCAGGGAGATCCTACCAGGGCAGGTGGCAAGCTGCGGATTGATCTGTCAGGGCTCTGAAACCTCTTTCTCCCCTCGCTGTAAGGGAGCTACGGGGCTTCCTTCAGCGTGACGTGGTTTCTGAGGGGGCCTTCCGCATCCAACTCACGGCTCCTCCAGACCACTTTCGCTGTCTGACTATATGTGGTCAGATTACTTTGAATAGATTTGCAAATGGGTGGGTCATCCTGGGGCCTTCTGGGATCAAGGGGGGCCACTTGGGTTGTG